TGCACAGACACTGTAATGAGGCAGTGCTCACAAAAATAAAACATATAGGAGGGAACTTCAAAACAGTTCACGGAAAAATAGGATTATAAGATAATATGTATGCTTCCATGAACTTTTTGAAGACTCCACATACATTAACTACCATGATTAAAAATGAATAACAACAGAAGTTATTTTATGTGTTCTAAGAGTGGTAAAGTTATAATCATCCTATAAGGCCACCAAAGGATATTTATAGATTCAATTATCCAGACAGATCAATACGCTCAAAATACTATCCTCTTCCTACTGCAAATTCAATAAGCCATACAACTCCAACTATGTCATCAAAAAACAAAGACCTAATACATACATTTGGAAAATACTAAGTATCTCTTTTCTATTCTTTGGCATCTATTTCTATGTTACATTTCTGTACTAGTTAGGATACGGTGTAAGATCTTTCAAGAAAAACAAATATATAATAGCTTAAAAAAAGTTTGTTCTCTCATATTATGGTCCAGAAAAAAAAAAGCAGGAAAGGCTGCCAAGCCAAGTTTCCATAAGGTCTTTCAGAGATCCAGGTTCCTTCCATCCATTGTTCCACTATTCTCTATGTTGTTTTCCTCAACTGCTTGGTTTAAGTTATGTCAGTGCCACCTTCCCATTTCAACCTATGTAAAGGGGGAGAGAGAAAGTCCTAGACAAGTACCTTTGTCTTTAAGGAAATAACTCAGAAGTTGCATGCATTACTTTTCCTCAAACTTAGTCACATGGTCACAACCTGGCTAGACAGTAAGAATGAGAAATACCCTCTTTACCTGAATAGCCAAATGCCTAGATAAAACTGCCACGAGTGGGGTTAACAAGGGAAGGAGGGTGTGGATCTACTAATAAAAGCAAGAATAAAATAAATATGAGAGGGCAGTTAGAATTACATTGATAACATCAGCAAATATTACAATTTTAAAATAAACCACCTTTGGGCCGGCCCGGTGGCACACTGGAGAGTGCGCCGCCTGGGAGCGCGGCGGCGCTCCCGCCGAGGGTTCGGATCCCATGTGGAGACTGGTTCCCGCTCACTGGTTGAGCGTGGTGCGGGCGCAACACAGAGGGTTGCGATCCCGTTGCCGGTCCCCGGTGCGGGCGCGACACCGAGGGTTGCGATTCCGTTACCGGTCAGTAAAAGAGACAAAAAGGAAAAAAAATAAATAAATAAAAATAAATAAATAAATAAAATAAACCACCTTTTATCCTTTTTGGAAAAGGATAAGATAAATGTTAATCTACACATAAAAGTATTAAAAGAAAGCATTTAAAATACTAATTATCTAAATCCAGGCTACAGGCCATCCCTGTTGACCCAGCACCAGACCACCCCTCACAGATTCAGGCCCCAGGCCCACCCATGAAGACACCAGGCTCTAAGACAGTTCCCACAGACCCAGGTACCAGGCCCATGCAGCACCAGGCTAACCCCAACAGACACAGGGTCAAGGACCACCCAAATGCCATGCCATCCCCCACAGACACAGGTTCCAGGCATACTCCTGAGAACCAAGTGTTATCCCTACAGATCCAGTTGACAGGCCCATCCCAGAGGACCTTTGTACCAGGCCAGCCCCTTTAGACCCCAAATCCTGTCCTGACCTAGTAGGCACAGGCTCCAGGCCCAAACACACAGACTCAAGTACCAGGCTGGCCCCAATACAGCCAGGTACCAGGTCAGTACACCTGCTGACCCAGGTACAAGGCCAGTCCTCAAGATAACTACAGCAGCAAGGACACCATGGCCCCTGACAGATGGACTGCCCAAAATCTCTGTACAAACTGAGAGACAGGCCTTCCCTGCCAAAGGCAGTCTGTGAAATTTCAAAGTGGAGCCTACTTCAAATGCATATATGCCAAGGCCACAAGGATAATGAAAAGTCAGGGAGACCTGATACCATCAAAGGAACATAACAAAGTATCTGTAACCAAACCTAAAGAAATAAAGACCTTAGAACTGCCTGACAAAGAATATAGACTAATCAAATTAAATAAGTGTCGGGTCTGCCACCGGCCGACCCGAACAGCCCTAGCCTCATTCCTTTTGGTGGGTGAGCAAATGGCCTGGATTCCTCTTTCCCTCTGGTTCCCGTTGGGAGGAGACGGGGGAAGAGAGCCATGAAGAGAGGTGAGCACAACCACCGGCCCCAACCAGCCCGTTAAAGGACACTCAGACGCGGGAGGGGTTCTGTAGAGCAGTTCCGTTTATTATCACACAAGCACTTGCTTTTATAGGCAGATGGGGAGGGGAGATTTTAACATAATCCTATCAGCTTAAAGGTCAAGAGCAGGCATCCTGTCTCAATGCCTAGCTATTGCAATCACGCACTGTTCACGTGCACATAAGTGCGTATTTGGCCAATATGGGCTAAGGCAAGGTTCCCACAGACACTCCCACCCTACTTCCTCCCGGTGCCATCTTAGGCTGCCACGTTAATACACCCTTGTGGGCCCATAATGGCATTGCTTGTAATGTCACTTAAGGTGGCATTAGTTTTTAAGGCCCGACATCTCCCCCTTTTTGTT